GGAACCAGTTCAGCATTTTCAAAGCCAACCAACAATCGACCGAGAGGAACAAAAGACATTAGCTGCAATCGATTTCCAGAAGGTAGGAAACTCGAGAAAGCTCACTCCAAAATTAATACGGTGAATTTCTCGAAGAATGTGACAGCAAACGATACTAAAAGTGGAAGCGATGAAGAGGGAGAAGCAAAGCTGAAAAGTAGTTTCTGTTACACCCAATCAATCCAATAACAGTTGAAGCAGAGGATAACGAACATCGGGATACCAGAGAAGAAGTCCTGCTAATGTGTACAGAGGTCACATCAGTCATTCCAGATGAGAACAGCAAGACAGGAAAAACTCTGGCCGTTCTGGGCAGAGGTTCAACACATTCATATACTACAACAGAGGTTGCTGAAAAGATGGAACTAAGCCAAATTAAGGAGAAGTACATTACGTTTTACACATTCGGAAATAAGGAGTCACAGACAGTATCAACAAAGCAGTACAATATTCGCATTCTATTACCAAACAAAATACCCTATCAAAGCACAAGCTCTACCTTTCCCATCCCTACCCTTGCCCTACAATCTCCAGCCTCTACCGAACGAGAGTGTCGACAGCTTCCCGGTACCCAAAAAACGGATGCACAGGAATTCTTATTGGAATGTACCACCTTTGGCATTTGATCCTTCCCTCCGATTTCCATTCCTCGACATTGCCTGGTGGACATTACCTAATGAACACGAAACTAGGGAAGATAATGACTGGAAGAAGTGCAAGAACTCATAGCATTAGTATTAAGAAGAAAAAGAAGAAGAAGAAAGGGCGTTTGTCTATTTTTGGGCGGGAGTATTTTCGCCGCTCTTTGATCTAGTATCAATATAAATATGTATGGTATATGAGCCCCACTCATAGAGTGAGGCTCAATAAATCAACTATTATCGTGTTTTCTCCATGTGAGTGAAGGACTCCTGTGAATCGGCGACTGTTTCTCCACAAGAGGCCACCTCCCAGGACAGGAGGCAAGAGGGCGAAGGCGGAAAAAAGCACGAGCAGTGAGAAACATTTTTTCTAACATTTTCCGAAGGCAGAAGAATCACATGGAATCGATTACAGCAATGTTGCTTCACAAAATATACTGAATGCAAATATTCTTCATGAGACACCCGCTCCAACCCCTTTCTCTGAAACCCTCCTTCATTGAGTCACCCCCTTTACTATGATTCAGTATCCATCAGATGATGTCACCTAGCTTTGCAGGTTTCAATTTGGAAACTTATGTTTTAATTTTAGGCCCGTTATTGAGAAATTCTTCCCAGATATATGAGAGGTAGGAAGTATAAAAGGTCTAAGCGAATTGTTCTTGGTGTCATCACAAAATTCGGTAGACATCTTGACTTTTCGAAGTTTACCCTTTACCATCCTACTCCTGGATGAACCCTGACCGCATATGCATCTCTAAGTATCCCTTAACCTCATCTCTACTTCAACTCAACATAGTCACTCGAACCCTACCTCACATCCTACTCTCTCGATGCCCCATGTTATGGGAATAAGGTAATCCACTAGTTGTTACATAGGTAGTTCTGTTGACTGTTGCTATTTCACCGCAGTATGTGATTCGAAAGTCTAGGGCAAGAAATAAAAAGCACGTCCCGGGAAGCACAAAGACGGGTTGGAGTCCCAGCCTAGGTTGAAGTTTTGTTCACAATTTCCAATCTATGTCGGACTTCCGTATCGCTAATTACCAAGCAGCCACTGTAGAGTAACACGAACAGGTAGGTTGTCATAACGCACAAATGCGCTGATATGATCAGATTTCCGATCTCCTTTCAGGATCCCTCTTCCAGTCGAAAATCCCCGTGTAATTGGTTTCGCTCGAGCCACCTCCTATCTAAAATGATTTTGAATTCTTCAAAAAACTGGAGCTTGACAAAAGTAGTTTAGTCCACATTTCTATTCCATTATTCGGCCTAATGTGCTCAGAAGTCTTCCGATTTCCATTCCAATCACTACAAATAATAGTAATTATTCGCTCACACTTATCCCCTCTTGTGAGCGTCAGATTTTCTTTCTTATTAAAGCTCCGTCTTTTTGTAAGCGATTTTCAACAGAAATGTATTCTCCAGTATTTTTTGAGTGTGCTAATGCGTTAGATGCACTAATCTCCTTGTGTTTCTACCTCTTTTTTGAACTTTTGAAAGACGTCGCCAATAGACCCCTAGGTGACTCATTTTCAGAAACTTCCAGAAGATGAGATCTACTTTCCTGCTTTCGTTTCTGCTCATCTGTGCCCTCTTCTCGTACTCATCTGCAAGTACGCTGTGCGTCAAGCTGATAAAGGAAGCAGCTTTCGCGCCTGGGGTAAATTTTACACTTCACAGTTGAATTAGAGATACCGAGATCAAATAGGTTACAAGAGTACGAGTATTTGTTATTAAATTTGGCTGTGAAACTTTATTGGTGGCTGGTCAATCCAGGTCAGTAAGGTACACTCGCAAACGACGCATTTGGGAGCCTAGGTTTGTACATGGCTCACTCTGATGTGTTGCATTGTGGGTGATAGATATACGATAAGTCGTCTGCCATCCGGCGGAGTATACGGCAGTTACAATCTTTGAGCCCCTATAACACCCTATCTAGGCCATTTGTAGAATACTAGTTTAGTATCTGACTAAATGCATGGGGTGCCCACTTGTTGAGAGCTCACCATCGTAGGTATTGTTGAGGGACATATTGGATGCTACACTTGAAAAATTCACAAAATATTGCATTTTAGAAATACAGCATTTAGAGAAAATAAAATTCGTCACTGCCCAGTGATTTACCGTGGCGAGCATAGGGCGGATAATATCTTTTTGATAGGCAAAATGGTTTTTCAGGCAGTATGTTCCTTCTTTGCTCCTGGATTTATGAAACCTATCTGCTCGAATATGTCGAGGATACAGAGGGAAATAGCGGTAGGCCCTTAAATGGTGTTGCATTTTGTCAACAAGATAGAGTACTTAATAATGAAAAGATTACTACTGAATGGCTTGGTTTTGCAGAAGGGCACCGCCTACGATGAAATTTGCAAAATAATCGGTTTCGACGACTGACGGCGTATTTAATTCATCATCAACGATACACAATCATAATAAAGTAGATTTCTAAATGTTGTTCCTGTAGCAGACCAATGTCTAGAGAAGGCTCATTGATGGTAGAGCCTCTGTCGCGAATGGAAACTCACAATTTTTTCAAAACCTGACCCTAAACTCAAACCTTCCAGTTGGACTTATAGTATTAAGCCATAGAGGTCAAAAATCAACTGTAGGGAAAGTTCTTACGAGTCTACCTTTATACTGAGCAAAGAAAGAATTCCGACGTGAATATCAGCAAATATTATGGAGACCCATTGTTGTCGTTCCTTCAAAGCTATTAGACATTGGCAAAATTCTGACTGGAAGTCGAATTTCTGGGGTGCTCCAAGAAAGCTATATGCCAAAAGCAGTTATGCGAATGGGCCTGTTTCCTTCCAACCTGAAGGAACATCCAATACGCCAGAGTTAAATAGGACCGCCGTGAAAACGCTGCTAAAACTTTAGGGCTACACCAGGCTGCACAAGAGGAGAGGGGCCAAGATGACAATCTGTACATACGTTGAACGGACGAACGCTCGCATCGGAACGATGTATCGAAAATCTGATGATGCAATTCATGAAGAGTAAGAACGACGTCATTGGATTGACCGAGACGCGAAGGCATTGACCGCTGCACGACTTTTTCATGAATGGAGAAGAACCGTTCCTTGGAAAATGCGACATCACAGGTGTTGGCAGTGTAGGTGTCTCACCAGTACGCCCTAGCTTCACAACCCGAATCGAACGTTTGTCATTAAGAAGATGTGGCTCAACCCCAGCTCTAACAATCTTCGCTGTTTACGAACCAACATCGAGCTACGACGAAGAAGAGCTGGAAGCGTCTGATATGCACCTGGGAAGGCTCTTCAGAGAGGGCCACTCTTTTCCAAAGTCGTATCGATGATTACAA